ATGAAAAACATATTCAAATAAAACACATTAAAAAAAAAGAAAAAGTATTTTAAGGACATCTGAGCGTGGCTTCGCTAAAATTATGCAGTGCAAGGAATGTAGTTTGGATACATACAAGACGCTGCTGCAAAAGAGATCAATGTGTGTTGTACAGTGTGAATTCTAGTGCCACAGTGGCATACACATATGGAGACGTATATCAGGTTCATGAAGACCTGGAAGTTGTCTGGTTTATGAAGTTGCTCCTGAAGTATGATGATTTATTTGTTTGTCACCAGTTAGTCTAATCCACCAAGAAAAACCTTAATATTCTTGTTCCATTTTACAATTTAATTAAAAAACTACAAGTTAATTTTGTTCTGGAAATGCATAGCCTTGATTTTATCTATGCACACATCCCAAAAGGCAAAAATGCATTTCAGGGCGGTGGGTTCACTAGATACTGCACCACACCACACACACACACACAGCCACCAAGCATATATGAACACCTTGACACACAGATACATGCACTGGCACATACACACACTGGCGCATACACACACAGTCAAATACACACTGACAACACAGATACACACATTAAAACACACACATTGGCACATACACTCAGACACACACCTACCCTGACACACACTCAGATACACACCTGACACACACACTCAGATACACACTAACACAGACACACACACACTGTGATACTCTGATACACAAACAATAGCACATACACACACTCAGATACACACTAACACAGATACACACACTGACACTCAGATACATACACACACTGGCACATACACTTAGATATACGCACTGACATACAGATACACACACACTCAGATACACACTGACACACAGACTGGCACATACACACAGACATACACACATGCATTTTCAAATCACATACAATATTCTGGAAATCACACACACTGTATGTCAGATTTCGTGTGTGATTTCTGAGAGATTCTATGTGATCTGCATGTGTCAGGGAGTCGCATTCAAAATGCAAGAGACTCCCAGAACTACTGTGAAACTTGGGAAGTCTGTCTATGTTAACTCTTATGTTCCACTAACCGTATCCCTGATAGGAATATATTGCTTTCTAATCTGTCATGTACACGTTATTTATGCTAAGCTGAGCTTGTTTAACCCCTTAAAGGTACAGTTTACCCTACCTACTGCACCATAAAAATGCCATCTAATATCACGGTGCCAAGAGGCCCCAAGGTGAATTCTCACTTTCAAGGGTTAAAACGTTTTCGAATGGTTTAACCCTGAAGTTGCCTCCAGTGCCGATCTCAGCTCCCCCACCCCCGGTGGCAATGGTATAGTTAAGTATATCGGGCCAGGCGGTTTAGCGATCCGAGTGACATGTTATGCCGCCCTGGGGCGTTAAAGGTCATATTTTGCAGGACGGCATAGCACGCCCATTGTTCTTAAGGACGCCCATTGTCCTTCCATGCTGCTGCAGTATTAAAGACAACTTGCCACCTGAAATCCTTTTTTTTTTAATGTTATTGTGCGTCAAGGACCAGAACATTCTTGGCATTTTGCCCTGTGCTTGTTCAACTATTATTTCACTCTCTTTTTATATAGTGCATTTATAAAAATTAAAGATTGTTATTGAAAGTAGAGGTGTTTCTTTGTCGCTATATAAAACATGTATTTATTTATTTTTATATAGTTTTGCCTATTATAATGCATACAGAATTAGGACTGTTAAAAATAAATTTTGAGAAAACTGCAATTTTGTTTTAAGATTGTAACCTAAGCATTAAAATAATGTAAATTTACAAATAACTAAATTTTTATCTCTCACAGAGTGAAGACTGTGAATTTCAATTGTAGACTGACCTTTTGGATAGGATCAGACTATTCATTAACAGAACTAAACTTATTTAATAGCAATAAGCACAAGGTCTGACTTGTTATCATAAAAGTGCAAATACAGTTTTTGACACATAAAATAAGTTACAAAGGACCTTATAGTATTTATTTAAATGTCATTGTAAAAATATATGAACAATGCCCAAGTTACTGTATCTCACTAAGATATACTATTACTCTTTTAAGGTTTCTGTTGTGACAGGCATCTAAAAAAGGTTCTTTAATATAATGTGATTCCTAAGTATTAGCACCTCAGACTTATTATATTCATGTTTAGGCTTAAACCAATGTCATTGGTGCATTGTTTGTCCGTTTTTGTATGCTGCCAGGGCCCCATTTGCCGCACCCACTCATGCAGATTGACATACACTGACCCAAGCAGACTAACACACACGCACTGACACAGGCAGACTGATGCACACTTACTGACATACGTAGACTGACGCAAACACACTGATTCATGCAGACTGACACACACACACACTGATGAATGCAGATTGACACACACACACTGATAAATGCAGACTGACGTGCACACAAACTGACCCATGCAGACACAGTGACCCATGCAGACACACACTGACCCATACAGACGCACACTGACCCATGCAGATACACTCTGACCCATGCAGTCACACACTAACCCTTACAGACACACACTGACCCATACAGACACAAACTGACTCATACAGACACACACATACAGACACACTGACCCATACAGATACACACTAACCCATACAGACAAACACTGACCCCGACACAGACAAACACTGACCCCCACAGACACACATTGAACCCCACAGACACACATTGAACCCCACAGACACACACTGACCCATACAGACACACACTGAACCATACACACACACTCTGAGCCATACAGATACACTCTGACCCAGGCAGACACACACTGACCCATACAGACACCCACTGACTCATACAGACACACACTGACTCATACAGACACACTAACCCTTACAGACATACACAGACCCATAATGCAGACAGACACTTACCCATACAGACACACACTGGCCCATACAGACACACACTGACCCATACAGACTGACATGCACAAACACAAATTCTTCACAAACACACATGGTGATGTCCTATTGACCCTCTTACCTTTCTTGTGTATATGACTTTGCTTTTCGTGCGCTCCTGGCAGCTTCCCTGCACCTAGCCGCCTTCACTCTGTCTCAGCCCCGCTCCTGCTATGCTCCCGCCCACTTGTCCCCACGTACAGGGCAAGGGAGCGGGAGAGAGGAATTGAAGCGCCCTCGGCCATGGCAGTCTTTATGGGGGGCTTGGATGAGCAGGCTGAAGTGGATGCCGCCGGACCAGTGTTACACCAGGCGCTAGTCAGCAGACATGTAAGTGCAACCTAGCGCCTGGTAACATCGCCGGCGGCACGCATTATAGAGGGGCGGCCAAACGAGCAGAGCAATAAAGATGCAGGGCCGGTGCCCCTTTGAGCAGCTCCCTAGGCGACTGCCTAGTTGGCCGATAGGAAGCGCTGGCCCTGTATGCTGCATACTTGAAGTGACCTTTACCTACTGATATTAGTGTTTTAATGTTGAGAATATCTACTTTCGTTCTGTCTTGAGGGCATTCTAAACCTGCTTTCTTGTATTTTAAAATTTCTGGGCAGTGGATTTCTTGCATGATATATCTTATTGTAGTACTAATTATCTTATGCCATTTTATCAATAAAGTGTTTTTAGAAAATGCTGCTACAGAGTCAGAGTGCCATTTACAGTCCCTCTGCAGAGATTCAGAAGCTGAGAGAATGGAGATCTGGATAAGAAATGTGTTCACCCCAAATACCAGTAAAGGCATTCACCAATACTGTCCATGGCAGGGGTCAAGTCCTGGGGAAAAAAGTGTGGGAACTCACCCAAGATCCACACCCCCCCCCCAAAAAAAAATGATACGCTTGTGTGCATATATATTTCTAAGAAAATACAGTGCAACATTTATTGCAAAGTGCCAGTTTACAAAGACATCTCCAAAATTCATGTGCAATTAACAAATAAATATAGAACAGTTATAACGTGGTTATTAGCGTATCACAGACAGTCAAAGCCATACAATTACACACAGTTACAGGCATAAAGTCACACACACCTTTAAAATGCAGTCAGTCACATACACACTGTTACAGGCAGGCAGTTACACTCACAGTTACAGGCAGACAGTCACACACACAATTACAGGCAGGCAGTCATACAAACAGGTACAGGCAAACAGTCACACAAACAGTTATAGGCAGACAGTCACACACACAGTTACAGGCAGACAGTAACACACACAGTTACAGGCAGGCAGTCACACACACGGTTACACAGGCAGTCAGTCACACACAATCACACACACACACCATTACAGGCAGACACACACCTACCTCTTTCCGTTATGGACACTAGGGGAGGAGTGTAGGCACTGCAATCTATGAGGTCTACTGTGGCCTGCATTCTAGCCTAGTAAAAAGTGAACTCTGAGCACACTGTATGTTACAAGGACTGCTTGCAGGCTGCAATTGCTTGGCAATTTTTATGCTTGTTTTTGTGAAACTTACTGTATATGATAAAATTGTATTTCTCTTACCATGCTAACATATCACACCCTGTCTAAATATTTAAACATAAGAGACGCAGAATAATCTCTAGATTGTTTCACACCTTACTACCTATTATCTCTGTAAGAGATCAATAAATGAATACAGGGGGGCGGGGCCTGACCGCCGGTTGGATCAAACGTGTTTAGTCTGAGCTCCTGCTTCTGAGCTGAAATATCGGAGCCAACTGCGGGCCACAAGCAGACACCGACCTGAAAATACGATGACAGCATTGATCAGGTGATGGGGATTCCGGTGATAACCGAAAAGACTCCCAACGGCACCAAAGTAACCCGGTAGAGGCCTGAGGCCTACAAGCTTGAGCCCGGGTGAGACGGCCGCTCGCCCGGTTCTCCGACCGGCGCTCTGCCACCCTCCCCCCCCCCCTGGACCAGGGGGGTCATCCCGGTCTCCATGGGCTACCACCACTGCATGCCAAAACACCTCCACCCCGGTCTAGCCGAGCATTGCGGTCCTGTCAGCGTGCCCCAAGATGGCCGACCAGCACCTAACCCACGCACAATATGGCGGGGACACCGAGAAACACACAAGCGACCTGACACTCTCCCACGGCTGGATGCCGCGTCTGGAGGTCGCTGGTGAAACGGCAAATGGAGACATCAGCCCCGAGAGAGCACCCACCAGGAACACACTCCTAACCACGAGGTACTGCTCACAGGGGAAAGCGACCGCAAAGAAAACTACTTACCCAAACGCTCTCCACCTAAACACGCATCCCCGGCTGCGCGACTCCCATCATGGCGGCGGAGAAGGAGAAGATCAGTGCAGAGCCTCAAAATGGCGTTGGAGAAACCTAAAACAGCGCGACACACTAGCTACGCGCCCCAACCTACCGGAGCATGTCGTGGCACTATGACAGGCAATGGGCCCCTGCACTCAGAGACTGTGTTATGTCCCCTGCTGGCATGGGCTAAGTCTGTCCTTGAGACTGATCCGCGAGGGGTAAATCCTGAGTAGCACACCGCAGCAGACCACTGAGACTGTAATGTTACGTGCAAATACTTAATCGCCTAGGTGGTTAATGACCCGTATTTAATAATCTCTCTGCCCATTGGCCCTCATGGCGTTATTACACTTATCATTTTATTTGCATTTTTATAAAGCGTTATTTTACTTATTACTTTGTGAAACGTCAATCCAAAGGCAGGCTCAGAGCTGTAAAAAAGCATATGCCTCAAAGATTTAATCAGCGACCACACATAGGTTGCCATAAGTTTACTTTACCTGCTTTCAGGCTACATACTGATTCTCTTGCAAATACTATGTGTAGATGATAAAGCAATAGTTATAAACAAATATTAAGAGCAGAAGTTATATGCAAATGTAGGATTTTTGTCTATTTAAGTGTCTACCCAGCAAGCATGTACGTAACCATGTGGATCTAACTACCTACCATAACCAATCTAGCAACGACAAGCATAAATTGTTATTATTTACTACCACTATACTTCTAACTCATGCATAACCTGCAATAGAAATGCCTCAACTTATAGCGCTAAATGTATGCTCTTTTGCTATGCCTATGCTAGTATCTTACCTTATAGGCTGATCCGACGCACAAGCATAGATATTGTACTTTACCTTGTTTGGCTATTCATGTTTCAAGTAGTTCTTTAATTAATTTGATATGCTCACTCCATGTAATGCATCTACGATATACACGTATTCCATTGATACTAATTTACATATGTTTAAAAATGTTTATAGCTTGTACCAAACGATAACAAAACAGAAAAATGTGCAGTTGTTTAATGCCAACTTGCGAATCTTGATGGATAAAATATGCGTGCTGTTGTGGCACATTACAAATGCTTGTTATTTTCATGCACGGAAAAATAAAGAATTTAAAAAAAAATAAAAATAAATGAATACAAATTATAATGGTTTAAACTTGCATTATTTAGATAACTATGCAAGAATAGTTCCATCAGCATTTCAGAAAAGATAAGCAAAGGGAGAATCACATTTAGGGAAATTACAATGTCTTATGATTATCCCATTTTTTAACTCAGTATGCTGCTATTCAGGCAAAGGGTTCTGACTTTAGCCCTGCCCCCGCTGACTGTTAGCTCCACCCACATGTATGTTAGCCCCGCCTCCCTTTCTAGCAGAGTCGTGATATTATGTAATAAGCTCCTCCCACTATCTTCCGATTGGTGCAATGGCTCCGAGCTTTAGAAGCTCTGCCACTGCGCCGCTGGCCTGCACGAGAAGGAGAATTAACAAATGAGTACTCTCCTTCCCATGCAGGCACTACCCTGCACCACCAATGTAATGATGTGTGGCCAGCCCCAGCATCCTCCATACAGCAGGGGCAAATGCAGACTGTCTCCTGTGTGTGTGTGTGTGTGTGCGAGCTGTGTTGGCAGCCTGGCGACCCCTGCTGCCATAGCGCCCTGAGAGGCCTTTAATAAAATACTCATTAATAAAAGCCCAGGCCTAGATGTTCTAATTGCACGTTATTATCAACAATTTCAAACTATCCTTGGACCACATCTTCTTAGGACTTTGAACGGATTAACCCCAAGTACTTCTCTCCCACCCCCAATGCTTAGAGCAGTGGTTACAGTGAAATGTAAAACGGGGAAAGATCCGGATCTTTGCAGTAGCTATAGACCAATTTCCCTTATCAATCTTGACCTAAAAATATTTTCCAAATTATTGGCAAACAGGCTTAAGCCCCTAATGTCTGGACTGATTCACCCGGATCAAGCAGGTTTTGTTCCTGGCCGAGAGGCCCGAGACAATACCACTAAGATCCTTAATGTTATATATGAAGCAACAATAAACAAAATGCCTATAGCCTTATTGGCAATTGATGCTGAAAAAGCCTTTGACAGGGTGGATCAGTCCTATCTATTCTCTATATTGGAGGCTTGGGCCTAGAATATGTAACTGAATACAGATGTTATATAGAGGTCCAACAGCTAATATCCGAGTTAATGGCCAATTATTGACCCATTTTAACATTGGTAATGGTACTAGCCAAGGCTGCCCTCTATCCCAGCTTCTTTTTGTTTCGGCATTTGAGCCATTTCTTGAGGCTATATGAAGGAATACAAATATTAAAGGATATAGATATATTGGAGGAGAGGCAAAGGTAGCTGCTTTTGCAGACGATGTGTTACTTATGATTACAGAACCATTACATACGCTATCTTATGTTCAGATGGAAGTGGAAAGATTTGGTGTTTTCAAATTTTAAAGTGAATATAGGTAAGTGTGAAATATTGGGGGTTGGGGGAGACAAAAGATTAAAAGAGCAAATACAGAGGAAGTATAACTATAAGTGGACAAATACAGGTTTAACATATCTAGGGATACAGTTGTCAGTACAACATAAATAATTAATTACATTAAATTATGGAAGGTTGGTAGAAAAAAAAAAGGTAAAAATCATAAAAAATGGGATTTGCCTTTCTTTTCCTTAATGAGTAGGGTGAACATCATAAAAATGATGATACTTCCCAAAGCTTTGTATTTGTTTCAGACTCAGAATACTCTCGCGACCCATTTTTTGCTCTCCATTAGTTTAAAGGGTAATCCAGACGTGGACCCCTTGCTCACGGTGCCTAGACAGATATCAGCTATGCCTCACTGATGATGCCTAACAAGGCTGAAACAATCGTCTGGGGTTGCTGTATCTCTCGTGCAGAGAGAACTTGCTGGCATTTCGGATCTGGACTGCCCGTATGGGTGGGACCAGTCTGATATGCTTCAGATATGTTCTCTCTGTAATGGCACAAGATAAACTAAAACCAGCTTGAGTTCTGAGCGGGGACCCACCGAAGGGCAGGCTATTTTAGCTGCTGTCCGTTCTCAGAATACTCTTGCGACCCATTTTTTGCTCTCAATTAGTTTAAAGGGTAATCCAGACGTGGACCCCTTGCTCACGGTGCCTAGATAGATATCAGCTATGCCTCACTGATGATGCCTAACAAGGCTGAATCGAACGTCTGGGGTTGCTGTATCTCTCGTGCAGAGAGAACTTGCTGGCATTTCGGATCTGGACTGCCCGTATGGGTGGGACCAATCTGATATGCTTCAGATATGTTCTCTCTGTAATGGCACAAGATGAGCTAAAACCAGCTTGAGTTCTGAGCGGGGACCCACCGAAGGGCAGGCTTTTTTAGCTGCTGTCCGTTCTCAGAATACTCTTGCGACCCATTTTTTGCTCTCCATTTGTTTCAGACATTACCTATATTAGTGCCTAGAGAGTTTTTTTAGAAAGATGCGCTCCCTGCTCATATAGTTTACCTGGAGTAATAAAACCCCACGTATAGCCTATAATATATTTACATTACCTATCGATAGAGGAGGACTGGGCCTCCCACATATATATAGATATTACGTGGCAGTATTGTTCACGCAGTTAAGAGAGTGGAGGGCCACAGATAAGAAAAAGTCATTTTATGCTTTGGAACAGAGCTTTATAAAGGGTAGGCTACAGACGCGACCTTGGCAAAATTGCCAGTTAAGTGTATTGTTACCTACCTCACATCCGTTTATAAACCACACATTGCATACATGAAGACGTTTTAAAGATATTTGGGGGTTGGCCCCGGAACTACCTGTATTCCTCCCTATGGCACTTAATTTGGAGTTTTCATTGTAAAAATTTACTAAGAAGTATAATAGGAGATGCAGATCCAACTATAAGAAGTTTATTGACGGAAGAAACACCCCCTAATATTAGGGACTTCCCCCAATGGAAAAGTAAGACAACAATCATGGATATAATGAGAATCTCACATTTAAAATTTTTCTTACAAAAATCAGTGATACCATATTGGCATTCAAGAGATAAAACACAATTTGAGTTTCTGTGTGGTCCAGGGACATTGAATAAATGGCATCTATCCAGTATGTATAACATGATACAGAGAGGGGCTACGGAAGGGCTAGTACCTTCCTTTCAACGGAAGTGGATGCAGGGCCTTAATATTCAAATGACTAATGAGGATTGGTCATACGTGTTTAAAATGGGGATGAACTCACAAGTCAGCATGTCTAGAAAAATTATTTTCTTTAAAAGAGTTACTAGATGGTATAGGACTCCAGCTCGACTACAAAACCTTTGCCCATTGGTAAGTGATCAATGCTGGAGGTGTGGAGCTAAACGGGGTGATATGGAACATATTTGGTGGGATTACAATCACGTGAGATTATATTGGCAGCATGCCATAGGGGACATATATAAGATTTTACCTACAATTAAAAAGTTAACCCTCTCTCAAAGATTGTTGGGTTGGCCAGCCTCCTTCAAAGAGAATTTTAAAAAATGAGGGAAATGGAGGAAATCCACAGGGCAGCTCAGGGGAATAGAGAATATTACGTTAAGGTATGGGAGCCCTGGCTTACCCAGTGGATGGGACCCGAGTAGACAGATTAACATCTTATGGAGGTTAATATACATTTGTTGAATAGGCAAAGGCAGATTTTCCTCTTTCCCCCTTTCACCCCACCACCTATTCTTTTTTTTTTTACTTTGCTTTTTTCCCTTTTTTTTTATATCTTCTTTTGTTTAATTTTTCTTCTTTTTTATTCATACTGAGTTTTTTTTTTATGTAAAAAATTTTTTGGGAGTGAGACAATGAAAAGAAAGAGAAAACAAATGATGATTTGGTACTTGATGAAGCTACTCTTGAGATAAAGAGACATTAATTAAAGACCAATTTCTGATGTTGAAAAGAAAAAAAAAGGAAAAAAACAAAAAAAACAAAGAAACAAACAAATATAAAAAAATAACACAGAATCGTCTGGTAGTAATCTGTTGAAGAGAGAAGTGCTTAGCACCACAAAAATTATTTACTGGCACAACACCAACCTTACAGATTAAAGTGCAACAGCTAAAAT